TAGTTCGTATAAAAGTTTTTAGAAGAAAATAAATGGCAAACATTAATAAATTATTAATAAAAGATGTTGAAAAGTCAAAGTACAAGGAGTAGCGGTGTTACGTCGCTTTATATTACTAATCCAATCAACAGGAAAGTGGTTCTTGAATGAAAATATACAACTTGTTGCTGTCGTAAAGATATGTAATGTGTATATCTAACACGTATATGCTTTTAAAAGACTTAATTAACTAATTATTTATATTTGCTGATAAATTGTAAGTGGGACATATTTCACATTTATCTATCATAATAATTTACTTTATATATAGATATATTTTTTACGTTTAGCACGACAGATAAAGTTTATGTCTTTCGGAAGGTAAACGAATATTTGAAAAGCTTTAAAAACCGCTAATAAACACAAATATAATTACAAAAGTATAATTATTGTTAAAAATTATGTAATTCTGTATTTTTTTATTATCTGTCAAAACTAATATGATGCTATTACATAAGAATTTGTATTGCGCAACATTACGAGTATTACGCCATAAGTGTATTGTTTAAAGCTTTTAAAACGCAAGCTGACGGCGCGAAATGTCATTAGATATATTCAACTTTGTCGCATGAGTTGGAAATAAAATACGCGAGACGAATGATCCGCTTAATTTAATCGAGCTTTTTATGAGCATAATTTAACGTTTAGGGTAAGTAAAAACATTTTTCTTCCTCTTCTTCTTTTATCTTTTTTAATTAATGTGTTTCATATTTTTTCTCGTCTTTCTTCTTTTCGATACAAAGTCAATTTGCTATCAAACATTACTCTAATTTGATTCTCTCGATGACCCGTAAAGGGGTTGCGAATTTACCCTCGCGAAGAAGCCACCCGGCTGATCGCGACCGCCATTCACGCCATCGTGCTTCTAAATTATCGATTTCCGCAAGCTCAGCGTTCCTTGGTGGAAAATGACGCCATGAACGACTATCCATTGGGCGGCATAGACTTTGATCTTCCTCCATTGGTCGACGAACCGGTATAAACGGTGCTTTCTCGCGACTTCTTTCAGTTGTGTTGTTACTTACTTACTGTACACTTGGTAAGTAGTTTGTGATTTTTATTGTGTACTACTACTCTTGCTTGAATTTATTAATTCGTTAACACCACACAATCAAGCGGTATACATATATGCTGACTATTTTCATCTATTTGTATATTTCCATTTAGGGTTTAGTTTCCTCATCAATCCGAACAACCCCTTCACCCTTTGATTTGTTAATGTACTATATTAATAAGTCGTAAGTATGTTTCTAAATTTCATGTTCCTAGATAAAAGGGAAGATAAAATGTAATTATTATATTAAATCAGATTCTCTTGCTTAGACATGTGTGAAAAATGATAGAGGACACTTTGAGTACTTTTGTAAACATAGAAATATATATATCTACCTAAAACTTTGAAACTTAAGCAAAGTTATAATTTGACGCTATTATTTGTCCATTATTTCGACAACGAAACATTTACAATCTAATGTTCATATTATAAGATTATATGTTCTTCCTTTTTATTCAGGAATAACACGCTTACAAAATTTTGAAGTCTATTTATGACTCACCTTGTATAATATTATCCACTCTTTATTAAGAATACTATAATTGTATTACAGGAAATTATCCTTTTATTAGCAGGTATTTAGACAAATTCGTCGCGTTTTATTAACGCTTTTAAAACTAATTACGCCTTATGAGTCAATGACCAGATATTGATGTAACATGATTATGTTGCGACAACAGTATACTGTGTGTGTCTGGTACATATCCTACCTTTATTTTATCATGGGATTTAACCATTCGTTGAAAAATCAATAACTGCGCACACATTTGGATTATAAATGATATTCTACGATTATCATATCGAATCTATAAAACGCGATAGCTGATTGCATATAATACAAAAATCGATTTGCAATACAAATTTATTGTAGATGATTTTCTGCATAAATTAAAATATGCTTGATTGTTTAGGCCATATTTATTAGATGTTTCGATTAGATGTCAATATAACGAAAAATAAATAAAAAATTAAATAAAAAATAATTAAGAAATTATAAAAGAAACTTCTAAGAAACGCAGTCCCGATTTGATTAACTCGTCGTGATTTAATCCTCTGATTTTTTTTCTGAATGGCTAATAATGGCTATAAAATAAATCACACTTATTAGACACATATCTAATAAATGTGATTGAACGCTAATTACAATTAGCGTTCATCGATGTTATCAGTAATTAATGTACAAAAAAAAATCGAATTGATCTACGTTGCGAATCGCAACCAGAAGTTTTTCCCACGCGCTAGTCAGCATCGGTCCGCATAAAAACATGTTTGCGAGTCAGTGGCTTTGTGAGCAATTTAGCGAGATGCAAGTCGCGCTGGAATGTCCGAGGAGAAGATTCTACTTCGTGGATTCTATCCTCGAAGAGAAATAACGGAGAATTAGAAACGCTACATCTACGTTTTGCGATGCAGTGTGTCTGCACTACGTCGATTCCAAAACGCCCACTTCGCGATATTGTATAATAGGTACGGCAAATAAGCTGGTAGTACTTTCGCGTATGATTTTCATTTTACTTTGTTGTACATGACTCATGTCATCATCCATCGATCCCAATTCTCGCGACGACTTGAAGCGGAGAGTTCTTTGAAAAATAATGCATGAGAGCTCGAACTTGACCTATACCGAAATATCCATCCTGAACTGCGCCAAGCAATGATTCCAGAAAGAAGAATTAAACACGATTTTATGTGAATTGATATAGTTTCGAAATAATAAAAGAGAAAAAGAGACACGATCAAAAGTTTTGACATATTGAAAAAAATTTATACGTAGAAAAATATTATTCTATTGAAAAAATAATTAGAAAATGATAAGAAAATCAAATTTGTTTCAATTTAATAATCTTGATTGCAGTATTAAATTTTATTATTAGGATTCAAAATATATTTTGAATAAATTTAATATTCATAATGAATCTATAATATATTTGTAAATATTTGAACTTTTGAAATATTTGAAACAAATAGTTATTATTTAAATACAATATTTACTAAGCTTTTCTGTGTGTATACATACACACGTATGTTAATTATTATATAACGACGATAAAAATCATGTGTTAAAGAACAATGCCGATAATATCTCATTATTTTTTTTATATGTACATATCTATTCCGCGCTTTTCTATCAACGCGATAAGAAAAATCAATACAAACCTTTCATTTCACATCGACGTAGCAAGGATAAAAAAGTTCTCGAAGGCTATCTTGATTTCTTTAAAAGGATAATAACAAGCGAACAATTAACTCTTTATATGCAGTTGAAAAAATAATCTGATTTAATTTAATTTACGTTACAGTAACAAAATTAAATTATACAAAATTAAAATTATATATAAAAATTACGTATTGTATAAAAAATAAATTGACCTCGAAATAATTTATTAAATAATTTCTAGACTCGCAAAATTTTGTAAAATTTTATTTTTATTAAGTCAAATTTTTATCAAATCTTCCAAATTACAGATGAAAACATAAAGTTCAGTGACAGTTCGAATAAAATTCTCCCATCACTCACAATGATAAATGCATATGTGACGTTGCGGAGGCACGGCACCAACGTGACCGTCTTCGTCATGCAGTGACAATAATTCAACATGGACTTTGCACTGTGTTCTTTACGAGAATGGCGACGTTTGTCTTTCTCACAGTTTCTATTATTAAATTTCAAAACGCGCGAGCGCGTAGACTATTGGACTATGTACTGGAACTTTCAATTCGTCTATTGCATAATCAACTAGCTTAATAGGACTTGATCAATCAAGTAGCTCCCATATAACTCATTTACAAAAAAAGAGATAGAGTACTACTAATAGATAACGCCGAATGATGCTAGCACTTTCTGTCTCTTGAATTTACGTTTTAAAAAATGTGGAAGCTTGAAGTTTGCTGATGCGACCGTTTCCTCTATTGAGCGAATAATTACACGCGATGCACTCATTTCACCATATAATTGCTCGTTTAAACTCAATAACACGTCAACTAGTCATATCGATTGATATTCAATAAACGTTTTACAAAGCAAAGTAATCGGACAAAGTCTGCTGGATCACGCTTCATCGCGTTCTTTGAACCCTATCATTTATTTAGTCTACTCATTCAGATTTCAACATCTAAACAAAATATAAACATGCGATCGCTGGCATTGCGACTCCGATTACTTTTGCGACTTCTTGTGTATAGGTAAGCACAAACGATATTAAAGTGGCACAAATAATGAGACATATACTTATACGAAGAATATACGTGTCGTTTAAGCGTCAAGTTGATTAATTATTACAATCACAAATAAAGACGCCAATCCCCTAGCTTTTCTTCTCAGTGTTGGCAAGTCACCAAGCTGACCAAAGTTCCCTCCTCATCCACGACGGTCTATTTCGGTAAAAGACTCTTTCGGGGGCAGAAACGAGGATACGCCCGACACTTCTACATTATACGCTTCTACAGCACGATCGTGGGAAACCCGTCGTGAACGTAATTACGAGCCACGTGCCAAGTGATAACGACGCCGGTAGACGAATCTTGCCAGTTATTAATCGCGATTAGCCTTAAAGTATGTCATTACGATGGCTCGATACCTCCCCCTCCCTCTCCAAACATGCTAGGATTTCGTCGCGTGTGTGCGTGGTTCGTGATTATAATACAATATATTTACGCAAGAGTGGATTTTTTACGACGATTTAATAGTCGCGAAGACAAATCGCCCTGTTCAATGATCGTTGATCTTTGATAAATGCGCAATGGAATATGCTACCTTTGGTCACGACGCTATATACTCTTATACGCTTATCAGTATCACAATTTTGTAACTCTTAATGATAATTCGGTATATTGTTATTATACAACTCTTTTTTATATTTTTTTTTAATGTAAAGTATATAATATATCTGATAGCGTAGCTACAATTTAACGATACCAGTACAATCGCTTTATTTTGTGGAATTAGAATCGCACTGTATAGTACCGACTCTCTCGTAGGATAAAAGCAGCGGCTGTCAGCTTTAGCGGCGACAGTTGATCACGTTCGCATCGAGCTGATTGTTGTTTCTCGTGTCAGAATATTGTACGGCGTTCTTTTGCATTGTTTGTTCACAGGAGAATAGTATGTATAAAGAAGTTCACCATCAAGAAATTAAACACGAGTGCTCGCGATCGGGAGGACTCCACGCGTATCCCGATCACTTTAGGGAAACGTACCTTTAAGAGTACTAGTTGAATCCATGAACATCCGAAGGTTCCTGTCCTCTGGTAGGACTTTGTATATAGTGTACATAGGGTCGTTTGTCTAATAAGAAGAGATCCCGCTGGAAGGAAACGAGCGAGTTTTCAAGGGAGAAATTACTGTCACGCTGGAAAAAAATTAGCCAATTTATCCAAGAATCCTGCGCCATCCTTCACGAGGTATTCACGCTCACTTTTAACAGCACGCATCGGCAGTAATAAGAGGGAAAAGATCTTGGAAGAGAAAAAGAGTGGCCGAACAGCGGAAATCATGAAGCAAGGAATGTCGGACGACTTTTCACTTGGCGTAAAATTACTTACCGCGGGCACCGCGGCCTGCATAGCCGATTTAGCCACCTTTCCGTTGGACACCGCCAAAGTCAGGATGCAGGTGAGCAAAGTAATAATAATTGTACTTAAATTATATCCTTCGAAATAATCGTGTGTTATCTCGTTGCATCTTCTTCATTCACCGTTCTAGAAATCGAATTATTTCTTTCTCGATCAAAATGATATTTCAAGTTCGCAATAAGTGCTACATAAAATTGAAAGAAATATATATTATGCGAAAATTGCGCTCAAATAGAATCGTTTATATAATATTTTCGCAATTTTGCATTATTATTTAGAGAAATCCAATTATTTCTTTCACAGTCGAAATGATTTTTTAAGATCGCAGGGGAAGGCCAAGCTGTGCTGCTAGCGTCAGCGGAAGGATCAGTCTTTGCAGTAAGAACGAGCCAGCCAGGATTGTTCCAGACCATCGCAAACATCGTCAGATATGAAGGCGCAAGGTACGTTGTTCGTTATCCTAATAATAAATTTAAGAAACGGTGGTAGGTAGAACAATTTTATTTGCACTATTAACATTTGTACATAATACTATATATATACAGAATCTGTAAGTGCAGGACTTCCTCTTGCTTAAGACTGATAATTCAATTTAAAGCTTATAGAAAATATTTATAGAGCAATCGTTCGTTTATATAATAATTATTTTATGTTCAACTATCGCTCTCTTTGAAATAATAACATGCCGTACTTTTTTCGTGATACACATCAAACTATTAACCACAGATTTCTCGTTTCGACGTGTGCCAGATCGAGCTGTTTAATTTTTTTTTCCATCGATTATTAATTAAATTATACACGTAGAAATATGCTGAATATAAACAGTCTGTTAAAAATAAATTTAGAATACAATCTATTAAAGTGTAACTAAAATTTTTATATATAAGTAATCACAAATTATGTGTTTAATATTAAAATATCAAAGATACTTGTTTATATTCCTTTTTGTGTTTCAATGGTTTATTATAGTTATTTATTTATATTTATATCACATAGAAAAGCCTTGTTTAAGTATTGACGTATGACTAACTTAATTTATTTAAGTGCGTGTTTTTTATCCTGAAGTATTACAATATTATAATAAAGGAAGGATTTTAATGAAAAAATGTTTGCAGCTTATTGTATTTTTATTAAGATTTTGCTCGATATCTGACACATGTGCGTACAATAATTACTTGTTCTGAAAAACTTTCTAGACTCTTACAATTAATCTTCGAATAAGTATGATTTTTATTTCGTCCTCCAGTCAGATGCCATAGACAAGTGCTCACTCACGTACAGCAATTTGTGCGCAAGCAAAATAAATAGAGAAATGCAACTACCTTTCAAGGATTACGCATTATATCCTATGAAGGTCGAAATGCATAAAACGAAACAACTACAAGTTTAATGAGACTTATCAATGGTATTTCCTGTATCAATTCCTGTTTTACATTCTATTACTTTTACGGATTATTCTTTTATTTCTATTTTGCACGGTTGTCTTTCGCGTCTCTTTTTCCGCTATCGAAAAAATTAACCGAACCGTTCTGTTCCATTTCTTTTGTACAAAATTTTTGTAAATTTCCGATTAATTTGTACAATGAAAAGAATTCGTGACGATTACGTACAAAAAAGTGGAAACGTGATTCTTCGCGTAAACTTTTTTTGTATGGCGCATAAGTGTCACGAAATACTCGTATCTTACGATAGTTGTTTCTCCAATGAAGCTGCTTATAAAATTTCGAAAGACAACCTGCTTATCTTTATAAACTAAAAACCTTACACATCTCCTCTTTGTGATATATTTTTCTTAAGTTATCACGTAGTTTCTCTCTTTTCTTTCTCACTTTCTCTTTTTCATTTTATTTTACTTTGCCTATATATGTATATAGCATTAATTTACTTTCCCAATCGCCGGTGCCTTCTTCCTCTTTACAGTCGAGTTTTTTAAACGTGATACAACACGTTAAAATTCGCGGTCAACGTGACAATAATGCACGCTCTCTCTTGATTATTTCTTAGCTCTTCGATTACTTTTCTTTTCTCGCGCGTCTTTAAACTGTAAATTACTTCATTATCGAGAAATATTGACTAAAACACATTCAATATATAGGATATCTATACATTAAAAAAAAAAATGAGGTGTTGCGCGGATAGGAAAAAGGCAAAGAGAAAAAAAATGGAAACATTACGCAATAATTGCGTAAAAGAGCAAGTAATATTTAAAAAAAAAAAAAAGAGATATAGAGAGAGAGAGAGAGAAATGTGACCAAAAGATGCCCTGGAAACGAGTTTGAGGATGAATTGTGAGGGCGGTGTGCTTGAGCGAGGGTGGTTACAGGAGCCTGTACGGAGGTCTTTCCGCGGGACTCCAGAGACAGATGTGTTTCGCCAGCATACGGTTGGGCCTCTACGACAGCGTGAAGTCACTCTACGCTGGAATCTTCGACGGTACAGCCAACAAACTCCTAACTTTTGATAACATATCTCCTATAATATTCACGAGAGTATCCGCGCGCGTTACAATTTTATTAATTCCTTAAACACGTGTACTTATACATTCATATGTCTTACGTATACAATAAAACGCACGTTTTGTTATATTAAAAAACACGTAATATAAAAACATATCAGTATTAGACAGCATTTAATAAATTATAATTGTAAAATTATATTCGACATATATTTTTATATATTTAAAAATATTCTTTGATTAAATTCTTGCCAATTATTTTAATATTTTTAACACTGGAAGACATAAATACTAAAAAATAGACGTCAAGAATGACGGTCAATATCGAATATCTATTACTGAATGTTTACATTATATATAAGACACGCATATTTATATCGACACTCGCTTTATCACAGTGAAAACTCTCGTAAGCTTCACGCGCGGATACGTGAAACGTTCCTCGTTCTCATTTCTGTCGTTTTTGAAATTGAGAAAGGAGGAAAGAAGGAGTGAAAGAAAGCTAAGTATACGGTTATAAAATGGAAATGGGAGAGCTAAAAAATTGAATGTACAGCAAAAATGAGAATTTGAACATCTTTTATAAATCTTATTCCCTGCATTGAGTAATCGTGAGACTATTACATATTTTTGCATTTTATTTGCATTTGTAGAGAAGCTTTAATTTCTCAAAATACGGCATTTAAACCGTTATCTTTTTTGCACAGTTTTTAAATACATTTTCTGCAAGTATTTGCTTGAATGTAATAAACTAAAATAGCGTATCCAAGGTGTAGGTTTCTCTAAAATTTTGCTCAGTTTGTATAGTCTTGCGATTCAATCGCTATGTCTTACTCTTCTGATTTTTTGGTATCATCATGTTTGTGAATATATACATATATATTTTTACAGTTACTTTTAAAAGTTCTCGAAAACGTGTATAAAAATTAATTTGCAGAATTCTATGAATTATTTAAAGTTTGTTTGTATATACATCAGTATACATAATAATACATGTTCGAAAATATTTTGTTCCAGGTCTAAATAGCATTCAGTTCTGAATTTTTACATTTATCGGTTTAAATGTAAATTATATAATTTATATTAATCTAAAATAATCTATCGTATCAATTTAAATTTATTTTGTAAGCTGGATATCCAGACAAATATCAATAACTTTGTTAAAAAATAGGATTTAAATGAATTTATACGTAAATTTTATAATCTCGATTGTAAAATATAATTTTCAATTTGTACTGGTTTTCAGTGTTATAACAGAAAAATTAATTGATATGTTTTTATTTTATCTTGATATAATCAACAAATTAATTTTTATTTTTGCTTGCGGTAACACATCATCGGTCCTCGATAACAATTTATTATTTATTATCAATATCAAATTGTAAAACGCTTGTTTACGCTTGTAAATTATACTGATCGTAATTAGTGAACTTAAGTAAGAGGTAAAAAGTGATCAACGCATAACTTGCGTCAATTTTATTTCGCTTCTTAATTTTTAAATTATTTGTCAAAGACTAGTTCTTCATCGTGCGTTTTTATTTCAACAGGTAACAATAAGAGTGGTACATCGATGAACATTGGCGTACGTGTTGCCGCGGGAATCACAACGGGCGCTTTGGCAGTGATGATCGCTCAGCCGACCGACGTCGTTAAAATCCGCATGCAGGCTGGAAATAATGGGCGATCATCGGTAAGGTATAGCTCCACTCTGCAGGCATACAAGAGTATCGCTAGTGGAGAAGGCGCGAAAGGTCTTTGGAAAGGTGAGTCTTCCCGTAGAGTAGAAATATTCTCAATTCTATAAACTTCTTTTATTATTTATAGAATTTTTTAATAATTGCACAAGAAGTAGATAAGACAAAATAAGACGTTTTTTTTTTATTATCGTAAGAAGTAATTCGAGTTCTCTATTTCATCGCACGTAGGAACTATGCCGAATGTCTCGCGGAATGCTATCGTGAACGTGGCGGAGATAGTTTGTTACGACATCATCAAAGATCTCATCCTGGCTAGCGGTTATCTTCGTGACGGAATACCGTGTCACTTGAGCGCTGCGACGGCCGCAGGACTTTGCACCACCCTAGCCGCAAGTCCCGTGGACGTTGTAAAGACGCGTTACATGAACAGCGCCGCTGGAGAGTACAAGGGCGCGATAGACTGCGCTATCAAGACCTTCGTCCAGGAAGGTCCCACCGCGTTCTATAAAGGCTTCGTGCCGAGTTTCTCGCGTCTGGTATCCTGGAACATCGTACTCTGGGTGACCTATGAGCAGATGAAGTTACACATGAAGAAGCTATATGGCGTCGAGTGAAGTCCTCGATTACAAAACCCGATTATTCTGCTAAACCGGTGCGAAGATCCATTGTAACTTCTTGTGTTACCTTATCAAAATTCATACTTCCGTAGAAGATTAGCGTTTGTTTGGATAAACCATGTGAATCAAACGTAGGTAGACTAAAAGCTTAATATTGTAATTTCAGAAGATGTAATTTCAGCCAATGATAATGAATATCCTCTTATCACTGCTTCTTTATTGCTCGCTTTCTTATAAATGCAAGCGTGCGCATATCGGTGTTTGCCGAATCATTCAACGATAAGAGATTAATCGCAGATCAACAAAAATTATTTACACCGTTGGAAATAATGAATAATAAGGGAGCTATAATCTCATGCGGTTTATTTCAGTTTTTATGTAAATGTACACATGCGCACTTACACCAAATAGTTAAAAATAATTAAAAACAAGAGGATCGTTTAACAATTTGTATTGCGCCAGAAAGCTTTATATATTTATAATAAGGTTAGGCTATTTTAAGATGAATTATACACAGATTACACAAATTATTAACGCGCCAAACAGACAATAATTATTAAAATTCATTCCAATGTTTTTACTTAAATCTCTTTTTATATTAGAGTCTCTTGAAAAACTGTGATCACGAAATAACGAATCTTCTTTTTAACGTCATTTTAATTAAATGATTATTTATCAATATAGCGTGTAATTTTTTGCATACAATATAATCTCGATTCAATCTGTAATTTATCCTACTACAGAGCACAATCATAAATTAACAATTTTTTAAACATTACATTAATATATATGAAGAAAAAAATTATCTTTATTTCTTTCATTTATCAATAAAGACAAACTAAATTAATTTAGTCAAATGAATATTTTTTTCTTAGTGTATGAATAATTTGGTCTGCGAGGAGCATTAAGAACCTTTCTAATAAAAAAGGAATTATATATTATAAAGATATTTGTTATTTATGATAAAATACAATCATTGCCAATTCTTATATAAAATAATGATATGATATGAGATACATCCGTGCGATATATCCCTATTGTCGTATTTCAATGATAAAAACTATTCGGTTTTAAAATAATATATGTGCGTACAAGTGTACGTACAAGTACATGACTGATAATACTTAATTGAATACAACATGTTTCTATCAAGAATTACATTTTTCTAAAAATTTACTTGGAATAATAAAGAATGAAATAATTTGGTTTAATATTAATACAAGCAATCCAAGTAGCACAGCAGCATCTCCAAAGCGCTAAAAAAAGTGTGCTATTTAGGAATATCCTCATGAATTCTGCAATATAAAATTCTATAAGATGTCAGATGTAAATCGTTTGTCTTCAGAATTTAGACAAAAAATATTAATATATTAGTACTATATATTGCGTTGTTATATTTATATTTAATTACTATAAAAGTAGTACTATGTAATATAAATAATCATTTATTCTGACATCATTTAACACATTACGTATTCCGCATATTATTATAAATCATCTTATTAATTTTCTAAATTTCTTCATTAATTATCGTCCGGATTATTGTGCAGTACATGTCACTGCATGCATACTAGACTAGAAATGTCTATATTAAAAAGCGCAATGTAATAATAGCCGAAAAATACGAAACTTGCAATTAACGTTATATTGATACGCATGTAAAGATCTCATCGAAAACTTAGCGTAATCCGTGGAACACAAATAATTGCTTCAGGAAGTCTTAGGGCGAGACCTTACAAACTTACAGGGAATCACAAACTCATTAATATTTATTTCCTATATTTATATAATTATATTTTATGCGTACAAAGTATAGAGCGAGGTACCGTGTCAGGGAATGATACAGTTCCCTTATTTTTGATATCTAAATTTGTTTTGTCTTAGAGACAATTCAAATTTTCCAAAAATGTAAAACTTTCTAGATGTCATTGTTTTATCACTGTTTAGGTCTTAGATGATGATTTTGTGATATAATTTCAACTTTCAAGAATTTTATTTTCAAATTGAAGAATCATACGCGTTTGTGCACATTTTCAATTATTGCAAATTTGGTTATTGTAAATTTCACAGCACAACTGATTAATTATCGTGACGCTTCAGTTAGTTAACGTCGACAAACATACGCGGCCGTACTTGAGTAATGTTTACATATTAAACCACGTATTAAATAATCTATATCTCGTTTATCAACGTTACAAAATATTGATATTCAAAATATGTACAAATAAACTTTACGATATGTAGATAGTATTTTCATAGAGAACAGCTTTACCTAAATGTTTATCGGTTTTAAATAAATATTGTTTGGAATATTTCTCTTCGTGAAGTATTGTTTTATACTCTACTATAATATATTTTATTCAGAATAGAAATTTTTATATTAAATTTTAAATTTAGAAGTGCACGAGAGTAAATATTTGAAATAAATTTTGTTGCTAAAGTAGCTGCTTCGATATTCGACTAAGGTGCAGTCCCTCAAATCTCAGAATCGGAATCATTGGATTCACTACTGGAAGATACGTCGTTGTCCATGCATCCTGATTCCACAGGAATATGTTTCTCCACAGGAATTCTAAAAAGAGTAACAAGCACAATTAACAAGAAGCATATCATATAATAATAAACTAAATAAGCGAACTGTCAATTAATTTCAAGAGCAAAATGGATGTATAAATTAAATGATAGCTCTTTTCACTTACTACATAGCTATTATCATTAGTTTACAGAAACATTGTTAGTTCGATTGATAACGATGGAAAGGGCAACATGTGTTGATGTAAAACAATTTATAGCGAAAGCATTAAATCAACAATGCGCGCACATGAATATAGTCACACAGAAATCTTGCCTTATAATACAATTGTTTAATTATCTCATTTGCTAAGAAAATGCCGTGGTATGATGTATAGCATGTTTATCTTGAATGCATTTCGGTATCTTCCGTGACTTTCTTAAAACACACATTCTCGGACAACAGGCTTGCTCTGTTGATCTATGTTGAATAATATATCATTCTGTAAAATCTTTTATTGTATATCCCGCATAGAAAGTTAAAACTTAAAAAAATTATTCTTTTCAAAAATAATCTTAGAAAATAATTCGCCAATTAAACACAATCCTTGGAAATACATTCCCTTCCAAATATTTTGCAAGTTTCCTTTCTTAGTACAAGTGTTCTATCGTAATCAAATGCTTTTCAACAAATTTATGTTTACGCGTCGACTGTAATAATAGATTAATAACAATATATCTGCGTACTTTCCGATCGCCCAATCGTCACCACCATCCTTCATCATAGATAAAGCTTGACAGAAATCTCTTCCAATGGCTTTGAGGTGCTCTGTGTCGAGATGTAATCCCGCCAATACGCCTTGATCGCATCCACAAAAACTGCTTTCCATCGTGTAACTTCTGTTCGAATGAAACGTTAAGTGAGACATTCTTTTTCAATCACAGCGATATCATTAATATTGTCTTTTATAAATGGAAACTCAAAAGGAAACGTTTCACCGTTAAACCGAGTTAATTTTAATATTAAATCATACAATTTAAGTTGCCAAACATGAGATTTTTTTCTTTACAGGACACGCGTAATCTCGGCCTGAAACGAAATTTCATTACGATCCAGATCTCAATCTACTCAGGATATAGCCGTCGTTTACCTCGAAACACCCAACTGCCTCCATACAGCGACCCTGGCGGTGGATTCCTTGTTCCTTTCGACCTTGAAGGAGCAAAGTGGCAGAGCGAAAGCCGGTGATGTCCTCTGCATGAGATGCGGTAACATCTGATACAGAAAGAGAGTCGCGAAGATTACGAGATCACATTTGGAGGCTTCAACGAGAATCAAGATTTCATGGTCATAAAGAGAAATACTTTCTCGGAGCGCTTTCTTATAATATAACGCTTTGACTAATGACATCAATGTGGCAGAGCGACGCGCGAAATGAATAGGCGAGTGTCGGCGAGTAATTGCTCGTGCAAATCGAAAGTTCACATTCGAATAGACGGTCGTTGAAAGTGATGAACGTCCGCCGGGCTGGCCCGGTGGCAGCTAAACGTAGGATAAATGATGCCGCGCGAGATCTAAAAATATTATCTAGTCTCGATTCCCTTCCGTTGATTCCCTTACCAAATACTGCACCGGCTGGTCCGGTTTCGCCCTGTCCGCGGCGCTCCAAGAACCCGACCTTGAACAACCGAACAGAAACACGTTCTTCCTCCGCGAATGGCCATGATAGTCGACGAAAACGTGGGGCGGTCTCTGCAGCACCCTGGTGCAGTACTCCATCAGACCCTTCGTATGATAGATCACCGGATGATACATTCGATTGGGACTGCTCCAGCGTCGATTCAGATCCTCGTTCGTCAGACCGTACCGATTGCTGCAGCAACGAAAGCATATCGTACAGATTCAAAAACGAACAACAAGAGAGGAATCGATTTCTGTATAAAAGAAAACCGCGGGGGCACCGCGGTTCTTTACAGAATGTAATCACGAACATCGCGATCGTTAAACCGCTGAAATTAGTTTTAAAAAATTCACTGTTGCCCACATATAACGTATCACATTGTCATTATCTCGCGAGACTGGAAATTCCGAGGTAGCTCTTTCCGAGGTGACATATATTTCCTACTTGTTTTTACGGCATCACTTCGTTTCAACATCATGGATATGGGAACTTATGGATTTCAAACGACTCCATAATGAGGTAATCTTAAGTCTTCGAGCGGTTTCGCTGAGCGAGGATATCGGAAATATTTATGCGTCTCTCAGAGAGAAGTAATCTGCAAACATTATTTATTAACCAATTCCCTAAGATCGAGCCTAAGATGCTCTTTCGAATTCGCGACATGAAATATACGTGTGTTTGCTAATTTCCCAACGTTCACTAAAAATATTCCCTTCAAACGTGTTACGATGCGATTACGTAATGGTGCACATAACGATTCGCCTTGATATGTCGTTTGCGACCTATGATCGAAAAGCGGAGGGGACCTCGTGAAAGATCATTTTCATTTAAGGATTCAGCCGCAGTTAGAAGGACGTTTCCGGTGGCCGGAAACCGAGTCGGAGGAAGTGACGCCTTCGTGTCGCGCATAGCTAATAGCGCGGCATGGCAGGTGACAACCGTCGCTTGAATTATGACTATCGCTTGATGTCATTCCTTGATGTACCTCTATCGTCTCACACTAACATATATCTCGATCTACGTCACAAGTAGATAGTGAAGTAACGTTACGGATACTTGTAATGTATTTAACTCCGTTAGCATTATTTAAAATTATCTTAACACACCGAAGAAGAATAATATAGAATCTATATATTTTTTATATATAGGAGTTTCTTAAATTATAAAATATTTTTGGAATATCACAATTATGATTAAATATTAAAAATATATATAATATCTTTGAAAAAGAGGAAATTTCATCTCAAGAAGACCATGGCCCCCATGGATTCATTTCACTCAAGTTTCACCTCGAAAGGACATTGAGGAATCGATTTTTTGACAGTTTCATCTTTAGCCGTTATTAACAGC